AAATTATCAGTTTGTTCCAGCACCTTTTCCTCTGCCCCCTAGACTTCTGATACACATCTTTATTACCAGAAATGAGCTGTTCTGAACAGGGGGGTTTCCTCTCTGCAAGGAGACTGGTGCAAAGAAATCACATAGTTCCTCAGTAATCATCTCCCTTAAATTGTTTCCGATGACCATGCAGACCTGCTACCTTTTTTCCCACAGATCCACCCTTCTCTGTGTCTGATACACTTAAAACATTTCTTGATTTTTAAAAAAAAATACCTTTAGCTATTTTGCTCTGCAAAATCTCTTTTAGCCCTTACAATTTTCCCTTTCCCTCTTGCCTAGTGCAATTTATGCTCCTATTTGTTGACAGATGAGTACAAGTCCTCTGAGTCCATGAGCTGTCAGAATTAAAAAGGATGTGATGGATTTTCATTACTTAAAGCTTTAAATCAAGATTGGAAGTCTTTCTAAAAACAATGCTATATACTGCAACTAGACGTTCTGAGCTTGATGCCGGTAGCACTGGATGAAATTCTGTGGCCTATATTATTTAGAAGGTCACACTAGAAAATCACACGTTCCTGGTGGCCTTAAAATCATTGAATTTATTTATCTGTTTGGTTGTGTTAGGTAGGTGGACATACATAGACACCAGCAAGGTCTTCTGTGTGCCTGCTAAGCTGACACTGATTACCCATGGGTTTTTCTATTAAAATAGTCCCAGTGAAGTTGGTGTAGCTGTTTACAATGCCAAACACCCATCTATTTACTCCTTGCCCACCAAATTCCCATATATCAAAAGTCACAGACCAAATTCATCCCTGTTGGTACGCAGCAGTGAGTACTCCAGTACTCCAGGAGGATTCACCTCCATGAGAACCTAGTGAGGTTTCTGTCGTCTGCCCTACTTTGAGCAGCTCTGCTGCTTAAAGCAACTCGAATTTCTTCCAGGGCCTTCCTAAGATTTTTATCAGTGAAGGCTGCTACTGGAATGGATTTGCACATCTCCTCATCGACCTGGCCATGACTATTTCTTCGCCATCACCTCCCTTCAATGTGTGTAAGTCCTTTGCCAGTAGGATGAAACTTGAGCGTGTGGACTTTCTGCTTCTGAAGCTTTACACTATGATCTGCTTAGGTTGGATCATACCCATGGACGTTTAAAAGAAACCATGAAGTCATGGAATGTATTACCCTTGCGACAGCTGTGACAAATGTTCTTCCACAGAAAGTTGTCAAACGTCAGCAGGGCTATAAAACACAATAGAAAAGATGAAGAAGGCATGTTTATATGTGGATGCAGCAGTGGAGAGACAGCCATAGGGAGAGCTGATTTAAACACAGATGTCTGCTGTGATGATTATATTATTCTGGCACTGACAGGAACAAACAGAAATGTGACTTTGCTCTGAGTACAGAGTGCCCAAACATTTAAAGGGATAGGACACCACATTCCTTCACCCTAATTTAAAATACGTTTCATGTATGTCTACATTATTACTCACACAGCTAACATAGAGCACTATATAAATGAAACAAAAGTTGCAGTGAACAAACTTTCAAATTGAAAAGGATTATTTGGCACCAAAGCCTGTTTCAGCAGCTTGCTGAAATTAGAAGTTGTAAAAGAAGGATGTTCAGTTGGAAGATCTTTCTGGAACAATCCCAGAATCTGATATTTATAAACTACAGGCTGCAACTGGTTCATATGTCATTTCCATGAAGTCCTAATTGTTTTATGATGAATGGTACAGGTCCTGTGCATTTTACATGTTTTTTACGTACATATTTACTTCATAGCTGTGGGTGTTAAGAATGAACGTAACTGTGTCATGTTCTTTGGTGGTGGTGCTTGAAATATTGCCTTCTTTCTCTAATGATTTCATAAACCTGTGTTGTTGATTTCATGTTCAAGGTATTCAACTGATGGTCTGAAAAACTCACATGTGTTGACATACACTCTTCCAGACCCTGTTGGACTTCGCCCAAATTTCAGAGACAATCCTCTTGGTCCTTTCTATAGGGCTCTACAGGCCTAGGACGCAGGCCTATAAAGCTACCAGCTGAAGAATACCACCCAGAATCATCTGTCACTTATTTGCACTCTGATTCCCTAGACCCACTGTGTCCTCAAACTTTTGGTAGTTCTACCTCGAGGATTTGATAGAAAACATTCCCAAGGCTCCATTTGGTTTTCTGCCCTATATAAACCAAAGGATGTTCCAGAAAGTGTCTAGGCCATCATGTGGCTCTTCTGTAGTGACCATGGCTATTCCTGCTCCTTGCTCTTTAATTCCTAGTTTGACTTGGACTTGATGTGGACTTTGCTTCTAGACCCTGAAACCTGATTCTGACCCTTGTTATCAGCCCCAGCTTGCACTTGCGTATGCCTCTTCACTTCCAGCCTCAGGACCCTTGGCCCTGACTGCCCTTGCTGAGTTCTTAACACTTTCCTGTAACAAGGAGGACATCCATGTAGTATCAAACTCTCGTCAGTCCCTTTAGGGAACTCATCCATGGCTTTCTGATACCAGGCAGGTGTTGATGGATACAAAAAGGCACCAATTGTAGCAAAATAATCCTTTTTGCATGTTGCTTGTGAGCTATTTGTGAGAAACTGGACAGATCTCCATTTGAAGAACTGAACAAATCTAATTTACTGAAACTGTCCTCCACGAAGAGCAGTAAGCACGTTTTCAGCATGACATAGTGGATACTGGTCTACATGTAAAGCTGGATTCAGAAATCTCCACTAATTCTGACTGAGCCATCCTCTTTAGTCTCTGGTATGATGGGTGCAGCCCACTCACTGTGGGAGATGGGTCACAAAGCTCCAGTGTTCACTAAGAAGTCCAAATCAGCTTCCACCACAGCATAAGACTCTAGGCTTACAATATTTTGACTGGCAGCCAGATTGGAATTCACTGATGCCTAGCTTATCTCTCTTATCTCTCCTGGCTCTTCTTCAGAAACTTTGGAGTACCTGCCCACTATTTCTTGGTGGTTTCAAGATGCTTTTGTGATTGCCTGGATCTTGGTCCCATTCATGTGAAACTTCTTAAATCAAATCCTGCCAAATAATGGTGGGTACTTTCCTTCAGATACATACCAGGGTAAAATGACTGATTGCCCATTGACTTGAACTTTCACATGAAGTATCCCTTTTGGGGCACTCATGATCTTTGTCACCAATGTTATATTTCAGGAATTCTCAAGCTATTTTTATGCTGGGATCCCCTCTGAAAATATTTCAGGTTGTGATGACCTGCCCCAATACCATGCCACCCTTGCTTCCCTATGGATGCTGATGGCAGTACTGCCTTCAGCAGCTGCTGCTCTCGTGACCCTCCCCCCAAAGTCTTGTAACCTCCAGTTTGAAAAGTTACATTTGGAGCCAGCAGTGAAGGAGACAGACCCAGAGAAAGGTGATGTAAACACAACTGTTTTCTGTAGTGTCTTTATTGTTCTAGAAACAAGTGCAAGTGAGGTTCTGCCCTGAGTACAGAGTATGTAACTATTGAATGGGGAAGGACATCACAGTCCGTGTGTCTTAATAGAGGGTGACAGTATTTTTCAGCTGAAAGATGGTGTTTTGGTTTGGAATGCAGGTATTGGTATGTAAGTTTTCTTTTCAATGTTGTTCACTCTGATTATTGGACTTCCCAGAATCACCAGCGCTTTCTATAATTAAATTAAAGTAATCTTATTAGTCACAAATTAAAAATTAGTTGAGTGGGGTAAATAAGTTTTCAACAAATGGGGAAGGAGAAGAGCCCCAAAAGGCTAACTGCTTGTCCAAGGTCATTAAATGAAACCTGGAACTCTTGGTTACTAGTCCCATACTGTAAGGAATAAAAAATATTCACTTTGGGGGAAAAAAACATTCCTCTGAATTCACTTTAATAGAAAAGCTCTCAGGTACTCTTATATCACAGTTGTGTGTCTTTGTGTGTTGCTGAAACTGCTAAAATGTTTGTTCCATTCTGTTCTTTCACAGTATTTATTTGTACTGTACCTCTCTTTTCTGTTCTGGTCAACCTATTTTTTTTTTTTATAAAATAACAGAATGTGAAAATTAGTGCTGGTAAAATGCCAGCATAAATACAATAACAACACACAAAAACTTGCAATATTGCTGCCAATCCGGTTTGGGGCTGTCACTGGTGCTAAATTGTGTTAGGAATTTTTTTCACAAGAATTATGTTTAACATTTCAACTGAGTTCTCCAGCAAGGTGTTCACAGAATTTTCAAAGCATGTTAAAGATGTAGCAAGCAGTGTTGTCTGGTGGACACTGAATATGGGATCACACGCTATTCTACCACTTGAAAACGGCTGTTGGAGGTGATAGGTTAGTGAATGATGAGTCTCCTCCCCTCCCCACTTCCCAATATTATATGGTAGGCATTGTGAATCTGGAAACTGCCTCTTAGTTAGGAGTTTTACTGTTATGCTTTTATTTTCTTGAAGTGATGAGTTCTGCTACCCATTTCCATGGGATTACTTATGGAGTAAGGGTGCTAGGATCTGACAAAGATACTATGAGGACTGGGAAAGTATTCTTTGCCCTGACAAAGGGAAATGGAATTCTTTTTGTCTAAAATGTAATCTCTGTATGTATTTTGGAGTGCATCTGTCTGTCTGTGAGTCTGCTTTTCAAGAACATCTTCTAAATGGTAAGAGCTAGGGCCACCAAATTTGATATGCAGCCTCTTCTTATCATAACTTAAAACAAGGTCAGGGGTTGGTTGTGCCAGGACAAGAAGAAGCCCTGGAGAAAGGACAATTTTTTTCCATAACATGCAAAATGGAGGAGCTGCTATTTGGATGGACATGCTATAAGAGTGGCCACTAGGGAGCAGCGAGCTCATATGGGAGAGCTATCCCATAGTGTCCTCTGGAGGCAGCTGCACCACCAATGGAGTGTTCAGGAGGGGCTGGGGCTCCTGGTGGCTGGAGGGTCTAGAGGAGAAAAAAGGCCCCTGGTGGCTGGGAGGACCCAAGTGGAGAAGACAGGACCCTGGCAGCTGAGGTGGCCTGGGGATGTGAGAACATGCCCTTTTGGCAGGCTGGGAGGGGTGTATGTGTGGAAGGAGAGAACTGGTCCCTGGCATACTGGAGAGAACCTGGGGTGGGGGGG